TCCTACCTAGTGGACGCTGATGGCAAGGCCTCCCTACATATTCATGCGTCTCCGCATTAACACCCGCATGTAGTTTGCATCTGTTCGGTAAACCGGACCATAAATACGTATTGCAAAACCGAGTATTCCTGCACGTTAAAACCTTCCTTCCAACACCGCCCCTTTATATGAACTACGAAAATTTTTGTAAAATGGAAAAAAAAAGATAAGAAAAAAAGGGGACTTAGATCGGAGGAGGGTCGAGTTAGAGAGGGAAAATGTCAGCCCCACCCTGTCAGCCCTCATCTATGGGTCATTAACCGTCATGATGGCCAGGGCGAGGGGTGTCAGCGGGGGCGAGGAAGGAGGGGAAGGACGGAGAAAGGAGGGGAGTGGGAGGACGGAGACAGGGGAATAAATGGGGGAGGGAAGGACGGAGAAGAAAGAAGGGGGTGGAGTAAAGGATAAATGGGGGAGGAGGGAGGAGAAAAGAAGGGGAGTGGAGTAAAAATAGATGGGGGAGGAGGGAGGGAGAAAGAGAATGGGGGACGGAGAAAGAAGGGAAGAGGGGACAAGGAGATATTGGGGAAGAGGGTAAGGAGGGATAAAATGGGAAGTAGGAGCAAAGAAGGAATTGGGAAATAGGGAAGGAGAGATAAAGAAGGAATTAGGAGGAGAAGGAGGGAGAAAAAGGGGAGGAGAATAAAGGAGGCATGGAAGAGGAGGAGGGAAAACAGGCAAAAATGTGGAATGACGAAAGAGAGAAAGAAGAAAAACAGGAGTGGAGGAGAAACGGGGGAGGAGGAAAGTGAAAGAGAAAAGTATAATGAAGAAAGGAAGAAAAAAAAGAAATAAAGAAAAGGAAAATGGAGATGAAAAATAAAAGAAGAAAGGAAAAGAAACAGCAAAAGAGGGGAGAAGAGAAACGGAAAGACAGGGAGAGAGAGACGACAGAAGGGGAAAAGAGGGAGGCGATAAGCCGTGAGGACGAAGAGTTGCAAAGGAGGAGGAATGGCGAACGAGTCAAGGGAGAAAGGGAGATGGGGAGGGAGGGAGGAAGGGGAGAAGGGGAAGGGAGGAAGGGAGATGGGGTGGGGAAGGGTGATGGGAGGAGGGAGGAAGGGTGATGGGGAGGGAGGGGAAGGGTGGATGGGAGGGAGGGAGGAAGGGTGATGGGGAGAGGGACGGGGAGGGAGGGCGGGAGATGGGGAGGGTGAGGGAGAGAGGAGTGTGGACAGAGAAGAAGGAAGAGAGAGAGAGGAAGAGGGAGGAGGAGGCGAAGATGGGAGAGAGAGAGAAGACAGAGAGATGGTTAGAGAGAGAGAGAGAGAGAGAGAGAGAGAGAGAGAGAGAGAGAGAAAGAGGAGAAGAGAGAGAGAGAGAGAGAGAGAGAGAGATAGAGAGAGATAGAGAGAAGAGAGAAATAGATAGATAGATAGAGATAGAGAGAAATTGTGCACAACAATAACTATATCAGTATACAAAAGGGAAGAAATTATCAAAATATCACAGTTAAGAGAGGGAAAAGGGGGGGGGGGGGTGAATCACGTGTTATATTCTAAAATCTTTAACAAAAATTACAAGAAATTTGACCAATTTTGAAGTTAACTTAAAAGATATTTTATTGACAAGCTATTTCATTGACATTTATCAATATCAATAAAAATATTTTCATATATTGAATTCACTTAGCTATTCTTAAAGAAAAAAAAAGAAAGAAAAAAAGAAAAGAAAAAAGAAAACATGAAAGAAAGAAAAAAAGAAAAAGAATAAAGAAAACCTAAGAAAGAAAAACAAAGAAAGAAAACGAAAGAAAAAAGAAAAAAAAAAAAAAAAAAAAGAAAAGACTTGAAAAAAGAAGAAGAAAAAACGAGAGAAAAAAACATGACAGAACATCAGGAGCAGCAATCAGCGGTGACATGACAGGTGACGGTGTCTGTGATGGCATCTGCTTAGCGCCCCTCTCTCTCTCCTCTCTCTCTCTCTCTCCTTCTCCCTCTCTCTCTAGCTCTTTCTTTCTCTTTCTCTTTCTCTCTCTCTAGCTCCTCTTCTCTCTTCTCTCTCTTCTCTTCTCTCTCTCTCTCTCTCTCTCTCTCTCTCTCCCTCTCTCTCCTCATTTTTATTTCTCTCTCTTCTTGCCTCTCTCTCTCTTTTTTCTCTTTCCTCATCTTTCTCTTCTTTCATCTCTTCTCTCTCTCTCTCTTTCTGCTCTCTCCTCTCTCTCTCGCCCTCTTTCCCTTTCTTCCTTCTCCCTCTCTTTCCTCTTCTCACTTTCACTTTCTCTCTCTCACTTTCTTTCTCTCTCTCATTCTTTCTTTCACTTTCTCTCTCTCTCTCTCTCTTTTTTTTTCACTTTCTCTCTCTCTCTCACTCTCTTTCTCTTCTTCTCTTCTTCTCTTCTCTTCCCTTCTGTGTGTGTCTTTCTGTCCGTCCGTCTCTGCCGCTACCTCTCTTCCCTTATTTATTTATCTATCTATCTATCCACCTATTTCTCTCTCTCTCTCTCTCCGTCCCCCATTTTATCTATCTCTCTCCCTCTCCCTTCCTCCCTCCCTCCCTTCATCCATCCTTCCTATACTATATACGATGTTTAATTCATTATCTATTTTTTTTTTTAGTTTTGTAAAACAATGTAAATAACATGATCTTTATCATTAATAACAACGCTTGGTGTTCTAGTAATACATTTCTATTTAGTTTAGTTCAAATATATAGATATGTATTATGTAACAGATAATTTCATATATGTGTATATCCAAAATTTTGTGTTGTATAATCTATTTTTTAACATCCATTGTTGCTTTACTATGTTGTGCATCTCCTGAAGGGCTCAGCCATATTGTATAATGTTGTATCTTGCTTGTTGTATTTTGTTATATCTGGCTAAATGCATTATTCGAGTTTAAACTGATTCTCGACCGTTCCTCCCTAACCTCTCTCTCTCCCTCTTTTATCTCTCCCTCCCACCCTAACTCCTTCACTAATTCCTTCTCCTCTTCCTCTTTTCCTTCTTCTTCTTCTTCTTCTTCTCTTCTCCTCCTACCTCTCCTCTCTCCTTCTTCTCCTCCCTCCCTCCCTCCATCTCCCCTCTCTCCCCCACCCTACTTCTCTCCCTGTCTCTCTCTCTCTCTCCCTCCCTCTCTGTCTCCCCGTCTCGTATATTCTGCACCCGACGGCTAAGCAGACAGACAATCTACTTACTGTCAGTTATTTCCACCGAGGTGTGCGCATATCAGTTCCCTGTGACGGTTAAAACGAGGCAGATTCAAATTTTTGTATTTTTTTCCGTTACGATTTGTTTTTCTTTTGGAGTTGTGGCCATAGTGTTACCTGAATAAATTCAGTGATGGTAAGTATTTATTAGTGTTGTTGCGAGAGGGTGGGAGGAGGAGGGAGAGGAGAGAGAGGAGAGAGAGGGAGAGAAGGGAGAGAGAGAGGGAGAGGGAGAGGGGAGAGGAGAGAGGGAGAGAGGGAGAGAGGGAGAGAGGGGGGAGGGAGGGAGCGATAGAATTATGCATAATATACAATAATTTTGTTAAAATACAAATACTTAAACTGACTACATTGAAATTGCAAATTACCTATGTTAAACAATGTAAAGTACGATCTTATACCAAGTATAAAATGTTACCTGACTATTTTCATAAGCAGAAAAATAAACAGTAAACTATAAACATTTCCCAACTATGGTATACGAACAATACTCCAACATACACAAATATCATGTAAACATTTGTTTGTAGGTGATACATCTTCGTAAATATTCGCAGGTCTTCCAAAAAATCCTACTGATGTTGCCATCCCATTAAAATATATGCATATATAAATAATAAATGAATGAATACATAAACAAACGCGCAAATAAATAAGCAAATAAAATAGATAAATAACCAGATAAATAAATAAAGACGTTGGAACACAAACCCGACACGACCGCGGCTACACGAACGCCAACACGAACGCAAATCCCCGCGCGAAAGACGTGAAGACTTTTGAATCCGGATCAACACTATCGCGAACGCCGTCTCCCGCGCTTACGCTGGGGCTGTCGCGTTAAAGATGGCGTCTCCTGATAGCCTTATGCGCTCTGACACGACACACCTTCAGACAAGGTGGACAATGTACTTTACTTGACTATACTGACCTGAGACTGGCATACAGATGGGCTTGAGGAATATATATATTTTTTAGGCCGAAAAGACGGCGACGGACTTATTTGTATTTTATTTGTGCGCGTATATTTCTTTATGAAAAAGAATAAATAGCAATAATAAAATCAGAAAAAATACTAACTGGCATACAGATAGGTAGAAAAGAAATACATATATTTTTTTAGTCCGAAAAAAAAGACGAGCGGAAATTCCATTGTTTGTGGTGATGACGAGCGTATAGTTATTTCGTATTTGCGCGTGTAAGCTTTGGCGTAAAGTCTAGTAGTAACGTTAAGAAATAAGTTCTTATTGAAAAAAAGACGAAATAATAAATCAAAGAAAAAAATATCGTTCTTACCTTGATGAAAAAATAAAAAAAAAAAATATTGTGTTACACAAGTTTTGAATGATATACTAATTAAATAAATTATTTTCCTATCAGTTCGTGAACAACAACCATAGAATATAAAGAGAAAACACTGGAAGTACATCTGTAATTATCATGTTTTTTTTTTTATTAATAAAGCCATCGATATAATAAATATCCGAGGAAAATCTGAGCTTAGCTACTAATACAGATAACACAATAAATGATAACCAATCATAATCTGCAATCAGATTTCCAATAAGGACCGGACAAATCTATCAATCTATCTACGATATTTCCGAAAACCATATTTTACATAAATAAATAATAATAATAAATATATATATATATATCATAATATAAACTCTCGTAAAATAACAAAAAGGCAAAAAAAAGAGTTCTTTTAAAACAGTATTTCACAATCACATTTCCATTTAGATTTTCCAAAAAATCATATAATGGAAAAACAAAATACATGAAAGAAAATGCACAAGTCGACTCACCGGGAAGAAATAGCCATCGTGCTGACACAACCCTGAAATATAAAAGAAAAAGCACATTAGAAAAAATAAAATAGAAAGAATAAGAAAAAAAAAAAACGCCGCCATATTTTACTGCAGCAACAAGACAATGCTTATTCACCTCACCATGACTAACCCACGAATTCAAAAAAATATATATACACACGTTGCCAAAGCAATAACAGAGAGTGGGAGGGGGAAGGGGGAGGGGGTGGTGTGTAGGCTAGTAATATCCGAACCGCGACACCCCTTCCCCCTCCGTGGCAAAGCGTGCAAAATTCGGCCATGCCATTCCGGGCCTGAGATAAGGAGATCCGAGGGGGGGGGGGAGGGGAGGAGAGGGAGGAGAGGGAGGGGAAGATAATAACACCGAAGCAAAGACGAAGGACATGCAAAAATCGACGCTAACTCCTATGTATGGCAACCCCGGAGATAAACAACAAAGGGGTAAATTATTGTACGGTGGAGATGCGTGCGTGAGAATATACACACGACTGGAGATAATGGCGCGGTGTGTGACCGTGGAGGAAGCATTAGCGAAATGATGCAAAAAAAGAGACGAGAGAGGGAGGGAGCGAGGGAGGGAGGGAGAGAGAGAGAGAGAGAGAGAGAGAGAGAGAGAGAGAGAGAGAGAGAGAGAGAGAGAGAGAGAGAGAGAGAGAGAGAGAGAGGGAGGAGAGAGAGAGAGAGAGAGAGAGAGAGAGAGAGAGAGAGAGAGAGAGAGAGAGAGAGAGAGAGAAGACGGGGGAAGGAAGAAGGAAGGAAGGAAGGAAGGGAGGAAGGAAGAGAGAGAGAGAGATGGAGAAAGAGATAGAGAGACAATAGCAGACAGATCGACAGACAGAGACAAAGACAGACAGATAGACAGACAGACAGAGAGAGCGACAGAGAGAAAGAAAGAAAATGAAAATTGAAAAGGAACGAAATGCTGGTCCGATAAAATGGTGGCAGCATTATCGAAAATGACGAAAAAAAAGATAAAAAAGTATATTTGGATAAGAATGGGGGAAATGTTTGGGTGATAAAATGGGTGACGAATGGCGAGAGGCTGGGAGATGGAAATTGGTAAATAGTAGTCGTAGTAGTAATGATAGTGATGTGATGAGATATGTCCATGCTATTATAGTCATCTTTTTATCAATAGCATCATCATTATTGCTACTATTTTTATCATTATTAGCACTATTATTTATTTTGTTATCGATATCATTACTATCGTCATTGTGATTACGATGATGATGATGATTATCATTATGATGATGATGATTATCATTATGATGATGATGATGTGATGATTGGATGATGTGATAATCATGATGCTTATAGTGTGACAATGATTATGATGTGAAGAAAAAGAAAAAAGAAGATAAAGATGAAGATGAAAATGATGATGATGATGATGATAATGGTGCTTACGATGATGGCGATGATGATAATGATGAAAATGAAGAGAGGGTGAAGAAAGTGAAGGAGAAAATGAAGAACAGTGAACAACCATAATCATTTTCAAATTACCAACGAATGTAATATCAGTATTAGTATTGACGTTAGTAGTAGTAGAAGTTGCAAAAGTAGCAATAGTAGCAGTGAAAACAACAACGGACAAAAACAATGATAATGATGATGATGATAGTAATAATAATAGCAATAATTAGAAAAATAACGATATTAATAACAATGAGTCATAATCATTATAATTGACATGAATTTGCAAAAGTAGCAATAGTTGTAATCATTATAATTAATAATAAGAAAGATATTGATAAATATAACAGTAATACATATAAGAACAATTTTAATATCAGTTACAAAAGCAGCAATTGTAACAGCAATGCCAATGACAACAAAACAGTTAAAGCAACAATGGTAGTGACATAGCACTAACAACAAAAACAATAGTCTAAACAAAAACACTATTTACATTGACAATAATATATAAAACAGTGATAACAACAACACACTAGAAGAACAGTACAACAGCTAAATAACAGTATTAAATTTCTGTATATCAACACATCACCAAATGCCAAATCATGTGTACATTTTTGTTTTTAAGAAACCATTCCTTTCACCCAATTTATCCCTTATTTATACAGCAATAACGAGAAACCAACGAAATCATAATAGACCAAGAATAACAAGTAATAACAAATGAAAAGCAGGTTTTAATATTGAAGAATAACGGTCTCTTTTCTGCAAACATGCGATCGTGTGCTGTGATTGGTCTGTTGTGGTCGAGTATCGGTTTCGAATGACGCGTGCGGTGTTACGGTGAGAGGAACAGCGCGGTTATTTTCACTGTCGGGGTAACTTGTGAGCGGTGTACGGCAGCGTTGGTCGATCATGTCGGGTTGTTTGTGGGGGTAAATACGAAGTGTAGAGATACGCATATTATTAAAATCGGCATTACGGATTCGGGAATAACTTACAGCTGTAACTGAGTAGTTAATTCATTATGCATATGTATTAATAGTAAGAACGGACGCGAATACATAAATATATATCTTTAGGTATAGCGGTGGAAGGAGCAGCTTGGTTATTTCAAGTGCAATAATTCAGCATACATTGAGAATCTACTATCTTTAGGAGGTATTAATATTAAAAAAGAGCATATTAACTAATAATACATCATCAAAATTATTATTATTATTTTATTTTTTATCGGTAATGGTTTTCTCGTAAATATTTATAGGCATAATCATGTAAATGATAATATATGATAAACAATTTGCATTCAGTAAGAGGAATACTATTTCCTGTCACGTAACTTCTCGAAAAATCAGATTTTTCTTAAGTAAATCCCCCTATAATAATAAGAAATATATTATGATCCATACACGAAGCGAATATCAGAAAAATACTGCACATAATAATTATACTGTTTACATTTTAGGAGAGGAGCTAGTCCATGTATGGTACTGCCGGATTATTGATGATGACAACAGAAATCTGTTCTATAATCAGGCTGATAATCCGATTATATGGCGTGACCAGTGGATAACCTACACTTCATCCTAATCCACTGGGGGGGAGATAAAGAACGTCTAGAACGATTTTGAGGAATAGAAGGTAAAAAATCGGTAGATTATCAAGTAGAGCTAAGCCATGTGTGTGTGTGTGTGTGTGTGTGTGTGTGTGTGTTGTGTGTGTGTGTGTGTGTGTGGTGTGTGTGTGTGTGTGTGTGTGTGTGGTGTGTGGAATATGTACGTGTGCGTGACCGTGTGAGTGTGCCTGTATGTGTGTGGCCCATGTAAATGTGCGTCTGTATGTGTTATGTATATGGATATGTAAGTGTGTGTGGCCGTGGAGTGTGTCTGTATGTGTGTGCCCATGTGCGTGTGCGTGTATGTGTGTGTGTGTGTTTATGTATATGTTATGGATATGTAAGTGTGCTTGATATGTGTGTGCCCTGTACGTGTGTGTGTGTGTGTGTGTGTGTGTGTGTGTGTGTGTGTGTGTGTTGTGTGTGTAGTTTATGTTTATGTATATGGATATGTAAGTGTGCGTGGGCGTGTGAGTGTGCTTGCACATGTGTGTGCCCATGTACGCGCGGTCGTGGACGTGAGTGAGTGAGTGTGTGTGTGTGTGTGTGTGTGTGTGTGTGTTGTGTGTGTGTGTGATTGTGTGTGTGTGTGTGTGTGTACTGTATGTATGTGATGTGTGTGATGTGTGTGTGTGTGTGTGTTATGTATGTATGTATGTGGTGTGTGTGTGTGTGTGTGTGTGTGGTGTGTGTGTGTGTGTGTGTGTGTGTGTGTGTGCCATGCGTGTGTGTATAGAGATAATAGCTATTACACCAGCCTCAGCCTTCAAAACCTCCCGTGGCCACAGATTCCGGCTGTTCCCATACCCCCTCCTAATCCTTCCTTCTACAAGCACACGAAAGCTCTCGCCACAAAAGAAAGAAAAAAAACGAGAAAGAAAAAATACGATAACTATCGTATTAAGAAGGAAAAGGAACGAGCAGAGAGGAGAGGAACTGCTTCAAGAAAAGGGGACTACAAAGAGCAGGACACAAAGGCAAGTCATCAAGAAAGACCAAGTTAATGAATGGAGTTCTTGAAGGTTAGGTCTTGGTTCCCGCGCGCTTCTCTTTGTATACATAATGGAGCGGTTGGAAAATGCCTGTAATGGCGGAGGAGGCCGCTTCCCGACGGCACAAAGATGCACAAAATAGTTCACAATAAATGTAAATTGGGGGAGATTTTTTTGCTTGTGGATGGCCAGAGTGTTTTGGATAATGGTCGTTAAATAGAGCGTGTTTTGAATTTCTGTAATTGATATGGCTTTGATGTTGAGATCGTCATGGAATCTAATACGAGAAACTAGACAGATGATGATTCTTTGTGAAAGGGAGAAGGATAGTTAAGAGAGAAACAAAAGAAAACTAACATAAACTTCAAGTTAGAATAATAAAAATACGTCTATATATTTTTTAATAGGATTGCAGAGTGCCTAATATGGGAACAAACGATTTGAATTCCTTATCTTAACGTATCCAAGAGCTTTCTTTGTAATTCATTCAGGTTTTGCCTAAAACACAAATGAAATCAGATTTAAAACCAAAATATAAAGTAAAACTAATTGACAAATGAATGAATCATATTAAAACAAGGTATATATATTTTTTAAAATCACCTGAGAGAAAAAAATTACCAACAAACATCCTAGCGTGAAAATACAATGATATTTAATACCATAATTCTGTCTCTAATTTTTTTTATTTATCTCGTTTTTTCTCTTTATTATTATTATTATAATTTACCTATTATATTATTATTATTGTTTTTTTTTTTTTTTTTTTTTCAAATATTAACCCACTTGGAACCTCCCCGTCGTGCAGATATCCTTGCATTTACAGAAAGATAAAAATAAAGAAGAAGAAGCAGAAGAAAAATGAGAAGGAGAAAAAGATGTAGAAGAAGAAGGAAGAAGAAGGAAAAAAAGAAAAGAAATAAAAGAAGAAGAAGAAGGAGAAGGAAAAGAAAGAAAGAAGGAGAAGAAAGAAGA